TAGCTCCTTAGCAATGGAGATGCTCCCTTCCTGTGTGCCCTGGGAAGCCTCTGGGGGGAGCATTGACATTTTTCTTTGATTTATGCAAAGAACACTGACCCACTCCTACTGGAGATGCCAGTCTTTCAATGGTGAGGGGTAATTCTTGCCACATGTGTGGGCAACATACCACCCACCAATTCAAGGAACAGGAAAGAACTTACAGAGAGAATCAGTTGGAGAAGGAAAGTAGAAGTTTCAAGGAGACAGGAATGTCCGCTCATACATGGTGAAATGGTCAGGGCCCAGCTTCACTACTGGGTTTGGGTATAACACTAAAATAAACCCAGACCTGGCATCTGAGTCTTTCCCCTGGCCAATGCTTTACTTTGCATGTGCAGAATATGCCTTTCAGGACTGTCATTAGGTCACCTTGCTGGACCATGGCAGAGCACCTCTCACCTTGGCTTTGGATGAGCTGTGGATGAGGCACATCACACTTGTGTCTCACCCAGTGTGGCAGTGTCATGTGGAGGACTGTATTTCTGCCCAGGGCAAGGACCCTGGTTTCCACACATCTGGTATTGCATCCTGGGTCAGAATGCAGCACCATCATTGCTTCATGGAGAAGGTGATCTTTTTGACACTTAGTTTTGTATCTGGAAAAAGGAAGCATCATTTTACTAGACCGCCTAACTACTTCTTCCTAGAGTAGCAAGAGAAGGTCCCTTTAGCCAGCGAGGTGCTCAGTCCACAGGGGACCCTCAGGTTTAGGAGTCTAAGCAGCACTGAACTAACTATTTGAAAGTACAATCCTTGTACCCTCCCACAGCAAGGCTGGGAATGCTGCTTTTGCCTTGTCATTGTAATGCAGGTGACTTTAGGTCCTGCTGTCCCAATTACACCTCCAACTCAACAGTGCACAGAATCCTTTGTTAGGTGTCTTTTTCTTCATGCCAGAACCTATGTTAGATGTCTTTTTCTCCATGTCAGAACCTATGTTAGATGTCTTTTTCTGCATGCCTCCTTGGGACATGGAGAAAAACGTGAACAATAATAAAGTCTTTTTTCTTACATTTGGTTTGAAGTTTCTAAGACCCAAAGGTCTTTCTGCTTTATTCAGGAAGATGAAACGAGAATTCCTTCCATGTGCTCAAAGTTACTTTTTCCAAGTTTTTAAGTTTTTTATCTTTCTGAAAATGACAAACCCAGAAGAGAAAGGGAACAAAAACAAACAACAAGAAAAACAACTCCAAATCTCCACCAAATTGCCAAAGATATGTGAAGGAGTAGATCACAGTTAGGAGTGTAAGCTGCACCTCACCCTTCTTGGAGCGTGCTCTGGGAGGTGTTACTCATGGTAGTTTGCCTTTGTTGAGCTGAAGAGAGTCTGAGATTTCTATCACACTTGAATGAGAAGAAGCTGGCCTGCTACTGTTTCCTGGTGATGACAGGAACACAAGACTCCGGGGTCCAAGACTAAGGATGTTATTACTTGTGGCACAGTCGTCATCCTCAAGGCCACCTTCCCACCATGGCCCTCCAAGGATCCATGGATGAGACGAGCAGTTCATGTGATGCTGTTGTATGCAAAGGGTTTGTGTCATAGCTGAGAAACTCTGAGCTCAGGAAATCCCACACTTTTCCTCTTCAACAGATACTTACAGGGTTTACCTACTACACATTGTTCTGGAAACTGAGAACACAGCAAATTAACAGAGCTCTGTCCCTGTGGGGTGAGATTCTTAGGAAGGAGGACAGACAATAGCAGTAACTATTAAAAACAGATCAATTATTCAGTAAGTTGTAAGATAAGTAGTGTAAGGTGTAAGGATGAAAAGAAGTTAGTGGTAGGAGTGCTGGCCTGTGGTGTGTATAGAGTGCTCAGGGGACTTTCATAAAGATGGTGACATTGATCTGAAGATGGGACGAGGGAAAGGCCTGTCCCGGACCACGTAGGTAGCAGACCAATGAGAGGGTATACTCAGAATGCTTGTGTTTAAAGTCTGGGGAAGCCCAGACTTAAAAGGGGGAAGCTGGCAAACTTGCCCAACATTTTTCTATGATCAGCAAACAGAGACATGTTATCTCTAACTTCCAAGGCCATTGCTATGCAAACATCCTTGAGAAAACAGCGCAGCACACATACTGCCAACCCCCTGCTCAGAAGGCATGCATGGATGCAAGGGATCTGTGGGAGATGTCTCCCAACAGTTACTATAGTGCCCATGCTTGATGCCCCTTGGGAGAGCCTGGTGAGGCTGAGATCTGTCCAGTCTTCAGCTCAGTGGGATCTTGATCATAGCTGCCACCTGGCCCTGCAGTGGCCATGGACCACTAGGATCAGGCACCCTTTAGGCTACCCAAGGGCTCAGCCATCTCGTACCTTCTCATCCAACACTTAAACATACAGTTTTTATTCAAGTTTGAAGTTTACCTCTTGATTTAGTCCTGGTTAGGATTGTGACTGTTTGATTTCCAAAACCTACAGAAAACATGTCTTTCAATCCAGTCTCACCTGTGTTTGATGAGTCATTTTGGACAAATGGTGAAGAAGCAATGTGGGTCCCAGGAGCTATGGCAGTTAAAAAGCATTGCTAGTTAATCTTCCCATGTGCTCTTCTGAGAGCTCAGATACCCACTGGACTATGATTTTTAGAATGTTCAAAGAATACTTTTCAATGTGGACATGCTGTTAGGTTGCTTTAGACCTTTCTAAGGTATCTATCCGGTCTATAATAAGCTAGTCCTTGGCTTCCCAATTCCAGAAGACTGAGACCCATTGCTGAAGATGGAGTCATAGCATCTCTCTAGAAGGTCATAGCTATCTCCTTAAGCAATGTATGAAACTTTTGGAAACAGGTAATTCAGGTATCAGCACTGTGTTAGAAAAGACCCTGATTGAACAGTGACCTACTTATTTTAAGAGTAATTTAAACACCCATATGTTTTCTGTGTCTTAAGATAGTAACAAGGGCACAAAGATGATAGGATAAGAGCTCACCTTCTCTAGCTGGTGACCAGCTTCATGCTATTTTCATTCTCTTCTCTTAGCTCTGGTGGATGTAGGTGTAAGAAAGTGGTCAGACAGACTTGTGAATTAACAGTAAGCTGCAGGGTTCTTGGAGATGGCACACGTGTGGAGTGCTACATGGCTTAAGCAACGATCTGTTACTTGAGAGAAGTCTTTACTCACTTCAGGGAGGGAGTATTTTTCAGGCTGCCAACCAGATGAATGATAAAAAAGGAAAGCCAATCCATTGACCCAATAACTCTTGTCTATTTATAGTTTTGGTCAAAGGATAAAGAATTGATCTGAGTTTAGCCATTCTAAGAGAGTAATCCATGTGTGGTCTTGGGCTGATCAAATTCCCCAAAACAAATCAGATCAGAGACTAGCAGAGGTCCAGAGAAAGTTTTCTCACAGACATGCACGTTAGGTCCACAAAGCCCCTGCTAGACAGTAGAACTGGATTGCTATCTGAGAGGTAAGGAAGAGGACCATTTTATACAGAATTCATTTTAATGAGCATTTTTAGGGAAAGGTCATGAAAGCAATCCATTCCAGAGGTACACATGTTGTCAAATATTTTATTTTTATACAGCTTGAGAAAAAATTTTAAAAAGGTAAACTAAGGGTGAGGAATATAGAAGTTTTAGATTGGTGAAAGATAGAACTTTATTTTTTTTCCTCAGAAAGTAGCCTTTCATTTCTTTTGCATAAAAAAGCAGTCTGTGAAGTTGTAAACAACAAACTGTCAAATTGATTAAATTCTGATACTATGGCAAGAAATGAACGCACATTTCCCATTCACGGTGTCACTGAGTGTTCAAGCCAGGAGGTGGTCTTGATGTTGTCTGCTCCTGTTCTGCTGGTGTTCTCTGTCTCTAAATCTAAGTAGGCAGATGCTCTGCCTGGAAAATAAATGGAAGGAAGAAAGGACAGACAAGAGAGAGGGAGGGAGGAAGGAGGGGTTTCTAAACAGTCGGAGATTCTATAACCATGCGAGTCTCTGCTGATGGCAGATAGACACATTAAAACAGAGGTACTTGTGGATGCTGTTGCTTGGGAGACTAGGAAGCCATGGGTGTTTGGTCAAGTTTTCTAGTCAACGCAAAAGCTCTGAATTGGAGATATGTTTTTCCCTCCCTCTTGTGAAAGGAGCCGGGACACTGGTACCATGGGAAGGTGACATCTCTTTCTAAAACATACCGTATAAGGTCCAGGGTTCCTCCTGTTTATGAGAAAGCTCCCTGTTTGAGTGAGCCACAGGGAAAGCCATTTAAACCAAAAGGAAGGAAAACCAAAACATAGATTTCAGAGGACCACTACTGTCTATTGAGTAGTTTACCTCTGGGTGCTGAGGAGTGGATTGAAGACAACATACAGGGAATTTAGAATCAGTTACAATGGAGACAGGACAAGTCACAGAAGGCCAGACGCTTGGACTGCTTCCTGTCTCACATGAGCTAGCTCTACATGTGGGACTCCAGGGCAGGGTTCATCAAACATTTCCTGTAAAGGACTGGGCAGTAAACATTTTAGGCTTTGGAGGCCACACTGGCTCTGTTGAAACCACTCAACTCCACCACAGTGACATGAAAGCAACCATAGGTGATATGCAAATGGCATGTTTGGCCTTTAGCATTCTTCCAATGAAACTTTACTTACAAAGGCAGCAGCAGTCTGGATTTAGCCATGGTCTGCTGAGGCTGTGTAGCTAGCAGCCAGGTGCGGTGGGCTTTGTGAGGGGCTTAGAATACCCTGCCAATCCCTCATCGCAGTGGAGACCAATCTGTGTTTTGTGGTCTCCAGCACGAGAGCAGGTGCTTGCGCCTTCCTCGCTCTCCTCAGAGACACACCTGCGGTGTTCAGAGCATTAGCATCTTTTCTGATTTCTTAAATTGGGCTCTGGGTCCAGTGCTGTCGTTTGCAGACACAAGTATCAGCAGGATGGACGGTAGGAAGGACTGATCCACAAGCCATCAATGGGAGATAAGAGAAATAGACATAGAAATAAAGGCAGACCACCTTTTCTTTTTTATTTCGCTTAGACAAAATGCAAAGAGTGTCTCATCAAATTAAAAAATAAGCAAAAAAGAAAAACCAAATTGGACCCCCCACCCCATCACTGACGGCACGCATCCTAATTAACAACAGAACATCAAATTGAGGACCTGCTTTCTAATGGGAAAGAAAGGTGTGCAAACGTGACTGAAGCTGTCCCCTGCCCCCAAATCAATGTTCCTTTTAAATTCACAAATAGGCTAATTTCACCCCCCTCCCATTTTCTTTCTTGACTCTTGTGTGATAGAACTTCCAGTCAGAAGGTTAAATTAGTCCCCCATGCTCTTTGTAGAAAATCAGTAAAAATGCAATAGCCCGTGAAGGTCATAAAACTGGGCTTCTTTCCCAAAAAATCAGATGCCCAGGCAGATGGAGCTCACACTCAGACAGAAAAAAAGCAGGAGAGTCTTTGCACTGTCCGTGGTTTCAGTATTTTCTTTCTTTTTTTTTTTTTAATATATTTTGGCAATTTTCTTTAATTATAAATATTGGAATTCTGTAAAAAAAAGGTAGCTTTGATTGAATTGTTTAAATTGTATTTACAACGCTGTCCAGCCATGCCTTTTGTTATACCAGGGTGTAGGATTTTGCGTACGGATTGTTTCCTTTCAAATGGCCCCGAGAGTCGAGCAGCGATTCTTGGGAGCTGCTCATTTTAGCTGCTTGTCCCAGCTCTGCCCCTTCTCGCTGAGGTAATGTGGCCACAGCCCCCTGCTGCCATGACTGTCCTTCCCTGGTGGAGGACGTGGAGGAGGAGGCCTCCATTGGGATGGGTTCAAGGACTGTGGGGCGCTTCAGGGTCCGACTTTTCTGAGGTTCCAAGCACGCTTGTCCTAAACTCAGGTCCCTGCTGGTGCCTGGAGCACCCCGGTTTAATAAGAAGTCCATTCGAAGGTATGGAGGCAGATGGATGAGGTCGCCTGGGGACAAACACAGACAGTTAGTTGGTTCTTCACTTGCTTAACAGGGCAGAGCACCTTAAGTGTCCATGGAAAGCTACTCAGGTTTAGAGATGGAGACCCCATTGCACATGGGGCATTTCTAAGGACCCCTCATCCAAACTTACCACAGAGGAGTTGGAATGGCTCTCACCCCCTTCTCCCAAGGCATGAAGAGCCTGTTTTTCCATAGAACTTGGTTCTGCAATGTCACACATGAGCCAAACGGATGGCGCTAACAAGATCCAAACACCATAACCAAAAGAAGAACTCATGTCAAAGGCAACACGTCTGCTGGGTACAAACTGTGGGAGAATAAATCCTGCCTATGATCGGAAGAGTTGGGGGCTCCCAGGGCTTTAGAAAGGACAAGGGAGAGCTGGCTCCCCTCTTGGCTATTCTATGGAACCCTGTGACCTCAGACAGCTCCTAGTCACTATTGTCTATAACGGTTTCAGATGAAGACTCCACAGCATTTAGCCTCCATACCTGGCTTTGTCAGCCTGTTAAACTTCTTGTGTTCCTTCTGTCTTAGCTGAGCTGTGAATAGAGATCAGAACAGCTTAGATCAGAGGCTTAGTCCTTCTTCCTTGGCAAGATCACTCGCTTTGGCTTCTAGGGTCCCATGGAAACATGCCTTTAGGTCTCCTTCAAGGGCACCTGCTCTGGGGAGAAAGGCTGCTGATGGTCGGCCTCCACTGACACCCCATGTGTGGAGGCTACCTTTCCTTTGAGTTTCTCCAAGCCAGTACAAAGTTATCCTGCCAACCCTGTCGCCCAGGGTGGGATTTCTCTAGCAGGCAGCCTCTGCCTCGAAGGGCATTGCAGGCTGAGGTTCTCGCTCCCCAGTTCTTCCTTCCCCTTTCATTGTCACAGGTCTCAGACCTCTATCATGGTCCCTGGACTCCCTGCCTCCTTCTCCTACTTCCTCACTTTTTATTCTCCACAAAATTTCCCTGATAAATCCCTTGCTTTTAGCTTTGTCTTGGTATTAATTTCTTGGAAAACTTGAGCTGGCACAGTTTCTACAACTTTCAGTTACCAAAGTCACTATATTGAAGGTCAACCATGACTTCTCAATGACACACTCTGTGGTTTCCTCTTGGGCCTCACCCACCTGGTACTACGGCAGTGTTTGATGATGTTGTTCTTGTCTGAGCACTCCTTGCCTCGCACTATGTCTCCCTGTCTGTCCGCATCTCTGAAGATCCTTCCTCACTCTCCTTTACTGGACCATTCTCTCTCCATCCCCCAGATGGAGAACTTTCCAGTGGTTTGTTCTCAGCCTTCTCTGTCTTGGAAGGCCTGGCTTTGCTTGTGTCATCACTTTGTAAATAACTCTCTTTCCCTTCCCGCTCTCTCTCCCAAGCCCTGAGTGTGAATTGCAGAAGCTTCGCTGGACATTTCCAACTGAATGTCCATTCTCCCTCATCCCCAAATGCTACTTTCGCCCATCCAGGTTGTTCTACTTGCATAGTCCCTTGCCTCTTTTTGGTCCCTGTCATCATGACTCTGGCTCAGGTCTGGAATTCATCTTCCCTTCCCCTGTCCCCTGAGTGCAATTCAGGCCTAGCCTCTAGATACGCCACGAAAGCCATCTTCTCTTCCTCGAGCTACACTTAGCCTGGTTCTAAGTCTGGTTTGCCTGGGAACAGACACCTCTCATTCTCCAGCCATTCTCACTTCAAGGCATACATAGGCAAAGGGTGTTTGCACAGCATGCTGATATGAATGCAGGGGGCTCTCCCTGGCCAGTTTCAGGCCTAAGGAGCTCACCATCTTGGCACACCTGAGACTCACGGCATTCCAGGTGAGCAGCTCTGGCTAGAGAAGGGGTTTGGGGTATGCAGTTCTGGAGGATGTGCAGGTAAGAGAGACATGATGATGGTCTGAGCTCAGGGGGCAGCTGTGGGATGTAAGAGAGCAGTGAAGTTTTGAGCTATGAAGGAGGTCCAAGGAAGATGGCTTCAGAACTGATGAGAAGAGGCAGAGGTGACAAAGATGGATGGGTTGGATATGACTCCCTCCAGGTTTTAAGCTCAGGAAATAGGGTGGACAGTGGAACCATGCTGTGGTTTGGTTTGGCATAGATATGTCCACCAGAGTTTCATATCTTCGAGATTTGGTCCTCCATGTGGTGGTGGGAGGTGACGGAACACTTAAGAGGCGTGGTCTTCTCATTCTTGGAATGGATGTGGGCCACAGTCTCTCTTTGGCTTCCTGTTTTGTGTGGTCTCTTCCTCCCTCCCACACATACTCTCACCCTCACCATCTGCCACGGTCCTCTTACCAGAGCCAGTGCTGTGCTTTCTGAACTGTCGGCCTCCAAGCTATGAGCTAGATCATCGTCTTTTCTTTATAAGGTTGACCTGACTTGGGTATCTTGTTATAGCAACAAAAAGCCTAATACAAACTAATAAGTGTGAAAGGCTGTATGAGGGAAATACTGTGATGAAGAAAGGTGATGGTTTTGGTTTCAGACATGTTAAGTTTGGTGTGGCTGGAGACATCCAAGATGCAATATCTAGTAGGCATTTTAACCTTAATAATATATCTAGAGCACAACTCATTACTTACTTTCTGAATCTAAAATAACTGAAAACTCCCATTACTGTTGTTTCAAACTATTTCCTGTGTCCTTATTTTCCTATAAACTCACAGTCATCCATCACACTTTCATAACCCAGACTTTGGGGGCTCTTGGACTCTGCAGTGCAGGGAGGGGTGATGGTAAGACCATGATGTTCAAGTGAGGGCTGCTATTAGCTGGGCGATAAGCTGGCAAAGTAGTGGGAGTGTTGTATGGTAAGACAGGGTATAAACTCAGAACCTCAGCAAATGCCTCCATGTTCATCCACAGAAAGAAAATCATCACCAAAATGGAAGGACCAGTCAATGGCATAAGATAACTGAGAATAAATAAAACCAACACAGGTGCTAAAAAAGCAGGTTATGCAATTTAAGGAGCATAGCAATTTTCAAAATGGTGTTCATATTCTTATTATTTTTCCCAGAATAAGAGAAATGATGACTTTATCCTTGGGAAATTTACCAAATGATTTCCACATCTGTGTACTGAATTGGCACACTGCACGGTATTTATAATTCAAAGATCCACTTGTGTTTCATCACTGGCTTTCTCAGGATGTCTTTACTCCATTATGGGATGATGAGAATTATATGATTTCATTAAGAACTGCAGCATGTAATTCACAAAATGAATTTGTGACACTTTGAATTTGGCTCAATGAGGTCAAACACACTAATTCAGTGTTAGCTTCATATGGGGAACTGGATCAAAGGTAACCCCAAAAATAAATTCCATGATACTCTTGTAGAAAGGAATGACCTACGTGGTATTCTTGAAGGAAGGGTTTTTGTCACTTGCTGTAGCTGGAGTCTAAAGTGGAGGGTACAGATGGATTACCATTGTTCCTGAAGAAATAAAATTATTTAATTTTTATAAATGAAACTTCATGGCATTGCAAATTACCCATGTTCATGTCTGATAATAAATACAGTCATCAATTTTTCTATCAGGAGGTTAATTATTTGCAAACAAATCTCATGAAAGCATGAACAGAGCTGTCATTAGGAAAATAAACTGGAAAATTATTTTGCAAATGTGAAGAACATTTTCTATGGGAATTGACCAATTTTGAAATGTGTGGATTTATATATATATAATTTCCTAAAATTATCTGTCTATTCCTAAGAGTCTAATAAGAAAATTATACTAATTTTGCCTTTATTTATTCATGTGACTAATAATAATATTATTTATATTCATGTGACTAATGTTGGTTGGTCAAATATCTGAGAACATCTAGAAGACATTTACTTCCAGATTTTTTTTAAATACAGGTTAAGAATACCTCATGCTACTTCTGAGATCTGCCTTGGTCTTGCATTCTTGAAATATTTGTATTGTGTTGTATCAGATTTGGGGACCAGTCTCTACCTCAGTAAATTCCCAATGAATGCTCAGACATTACTAGACTCCTGTATCAGTTAGGGTCTTAGATTGAACAGAGAAAACATGTTTGAAATAAAAGACCAAGTCCACAATCTCTGCCCCTGCCCACAGGAGTTCCCACTTCGGATGTAGTGATCAAGAACATTCTGGTAGCTGAAGAAGGTTGGTGAGGAGTGCAAATGCTGCATAATGGAGGCAGGTCCTCAGCACATTCCTATACACAAGGACCACTTGTGTTTTGCTTATTGCAGGTCTGCCAATATTGAATAGCCACTATTGCTGAAGGACCCAGTATTCCAGGCAAAGCTTTATGAAGTTTTGTACAATGCTCTCATTAGCTTTTTATTTTTGACTGTTGTTTTCTGATTAACACTCAAAAGTCGCCCTTTCAACTGTGTGGATGCCTCAAAGGAGCTCTCTCAATAATTCATGTACTTATGGGGAAGAAGTACGAGAGTAGTTGGTGGCGAGCTTGGTCTATTATAAGCACTTTATGTCGATTAAAATCCCAGCCCACATGCTAGTTCAAGTACCAGCTGAATTTTCTAGTACTTTGTCCAGATCCTAGGTTCTTTGTTGCCTACACCTACCAAGACAACCTATGCAATTGCTTCAGAGAAAGAGAAGCCAAGTTGGGGACTGAGATAACTTTCAGACATTACCACACCTGATTTTCTTATCCCCATCCTGTCCCCTACTGCCTGTTTCATACACCATGACAATGAAGAGTAGTGGTTGGGAGGGAGTTGGCTGCATTTGTCTGATTGGCATCGATCTGGGCTCAGTTTCCTCATCCATAAAATGGGTTTAGTAGCATCTATCTAGAGGGTTGTGGTGAGGACTCCACTAGGTAGCTTGCATGCAAGCTTCACCACAAGACAAAAGTCTGAGGTCAGGGGCTGTAGTTTGCGGGAGAATGAACCAGGAGCTTGTCTCTCTATTGTAGCTTCTCAAGACATGTCCAGTGACTCACCCTTAACATTGGTGAGTGTGACCTCACCAGGAG